CGGGTTGGGGAGCCAGCCTTGATTGCAAACTCACCCACCAATTCCAGACCCTGTAACAGCCAGAGGCCCCACCCTCTACTTCCCCAAAGGGTGGGATGCTGAAGGAATCTCTGCCAGCAGGACCTCGGTCCTGGAAGCAGGGAGACAACAGGGTGAGTCATCCCTGCCTTCCCTTCATCAAAGGCCAACACGAGGAGGGGGCGCCATCTGTGGGGAGGGGTTCTCCAAATTTGCCCTCTTGCAAGGGGGAACTGCCTGTCAGCCGAGGAGTAAGTATCAGACCTGTGACTAGGGCACAGGGCTGGGAGTCAGAAATTCTGGCCTTTATTCCCATCTCTGCCACTGACTGGCTGCATGACCATGGGAAAGTCACTTCACCTCTCCATGCCTTGGTTTCCCTAGCTTGAAAAGATGGCTGATAATGCTTTTCTCACAGAAGCTATTTAATAATTTAACATGTCCGAAGTGATTTGGGATTCTTGACTAGAAGGCAGAAGAGAAGGAGGAAGTATAATTATCTGCATCATGAATTTCTCACAGTAGTCCGCAAAAAAGGAGCTTTGTAGTTAAGAAATACCTCTGTGTTTTAAACTGCCATCTATTTATCTTTTTGGATCTTAGATGAGCACATACTGTGTTCTGAAGGTGCCAGAAGGTTGCAGAGTCCTCAGGCTCTATCATTACAGATCTCATTCTACGGCCATGGCCTCTCCAAACCTGGCTTTTGTGCCAGCCAGCCTGCCTCCAGCTGCTGTGGAGGTGGAAGCACTTCAGCGTTTCGTGTCTCATTCCCAGAGGCTGTTGGTAATGACTGGTGCCGGAATCTCCACGGAATCAGGGATCCCAGACTACCGCTCCGAAGGGGTAGGGCTTTACGCCAGGACAGACAGGCGACCTATCCAGCATGCTGAGTTTGTTCGCAGTGCCAGTGCCCGCCAGCGATACTGGGCAAGGAACTTTGTAGGCTGGACCCAGTTCTCCTCTCACCAGCCTAATGCAGCACACCTGGCCCTAAGAACGGAATCTCCACGGAATCAGGGATCCCAGACTACCGCTCCGAAGGGGTAGGGCTTTACGCCAGGACAGACAGGCGACCTATCCAGCATGCTGAGTTTGTTCGCAGTGCCAGTGCCCGCCAGCGATACTGGGCAAGGAACTTTGTAGGCTGGACCCAGTTCTCCTCTCACCAGCCTAATGCAGCACACCTGGCCCTAAGAAACTGGGAAAAGCTGGGAAAGCTGCACTGGCTGGTGACCCAGAATGTGGACGCGCTGCATACGAAGGCCGGGAGTCAGCGGATGACGGAATTGCATGGCTGCACACACAGGTACTCCACGGGGTTAGGGAAAAGATGGTGCCATCACATGGGTGGGAGGGTGGCTTATGGGTGGGAAGTGGCATTATGGGGGGCACAAAGGAGGCTGTAAGGATGTCAGGTTACTACATGGGTGGGACAACACAAAGGTGCTGCTTGCCTGTGGGGGAGGTGAGGACCGAATTGCCATGCTATGGCAGGAGGGTGGCTAATCCACAGATGCCGGTAGGGGTAGAACGTCTTATGACCGGGTGCTCCCGTGTTTCACACACCTTTGGTGCGGCTCTATGTGGCTCCTTTCCCTTTCAGTTTGTTTTAATTAGTGTCTTCTCCTTTTTTGCCTCATCTAGACTCCTCTGAGCAAGGGCATGAAGGGGAACAGGGACCCTAAGTATGTGGGGAAGGTTAAAAAGGCTGAAATCAGTGTCTTGTGCTGGAAGCACAAAAGGTGGGCTTGTTTAGAGAGAAAGGGCATATTCTACATATACAGCATCACTGCAGTGCAGCCACTTCAAGGGAGGGGAGTTGCATTCTGCACTGTAGATGGACATGGAGGGGGAATTTTCGCCCAGGCCATTTGCTAAATGATACCAAGGCACTTTAATGTCTGCATGGAGCAGATGGGACCACAGCATTTGAAGGCCCTGTAGGAAAGAGCTGCTCACACAGCAAACAGCATGGCAGCTAGCTTATATCTGCCTTGGAAGAATGCTGCGCTGAGCTAACTCTGCTGGAAGCTGGGTAATGGTTAACAGGGGTCCAGGAGCTGCCACCCCTATCTGTAGCCCACCGTGTGTGAGCTGGCAGCCCTGAACGGTGCCGGCAGAGCTGGCAGCCCTGCAAGGGCCTGAGGTATTTCAGCTGGATTAGAGCGGTCCCCAACCCAGGATCCCACTTAATTGTTTACTGGTTAAACCTAATCTTAAACCGGTCAATTGGTTCAGTGGGGATTTTACACTCTTAGTGCAGACCCCTTGGGATATCTTAGATATACTTTGTGGACCCCCAGGATTGCCCCAGCCACAGGTTGAAAACAGCTGCTTCAGGTCACCTAGTTTTTAGCACCCATTTGCGCTGTTTCCTTCAGGGGGATAGCTAAACACAGATCATTTAAGCACATGTTTCTATCATTCTTCTGGTCTTAGAAGGCCAAACCTGCTCCACTCCTTGGGTGGAGTTGTGAGAGCCACATTGGGTCTTCACGTGGCGTGATTAGATAACATTCTCTGACCTGTATTATGTAGAAGGGTAGATTAGATGATCACAAATGATCCCTCTGACCTTAAAATCTTTGCATCAATGAATCCCAGTGGAGAAGGGGCTCTTTGAAAGACCATGAATTGTGTTTCAGGGTTCTCTGCCTCGGCTGTGGAGAGCAAACCCCCCGCTCTGAGCTTCAGAAGCACTTTGAAGCGCTGAATCCCACCTGGAGAGCTGAAGCACATGGTATGGCACCTGATGGGGATGTCTTCCTCACAGATGAGCAGGTGCGTAATTTCCGTGTCCCAGCTTGCAGCAGATGTGGTGGGATCCTGAAGCCAGATGTGACGTTCTTTGGAGATACAGTGAGCCGAGAGAAAGTGGATTTTGTGCACCGGCGCCTGGCTGAAGCAGATTCCATGCTGGTGGCAGGATCCTCTTTGCAGGTAACAGGCCTGTATTCATATATTTCAAGGCTACTGTCTCTGCAGTGGTGCCTGTGGCCGCCAGCTCTCTTATCTGAATCCAGTCTCCAGGGCTTCTTAGTATTTTGTTCAACTCTCTTTATAATCTGGCTTCACAGCCATTTAGGTGGGGTATCTATAATGTGCTTCCTTTTCTCTCCACTGCCAGTCTGCTGCGCCATTTGCCAGATACTGCACTGATGTGCTTCTGCTATCCCAGCTGTATAGCCCTATTATCTGTCTGACTTTTTGATTTGCTCTTCAAAGATCTTAGACCCACCTTTTCTTGCCCAACCCTTTTGTCTTTAGCACCGTAGTAAGCCCAATGTGAAATATCAGGAAGTTATAGGACCCTTAAGTGCTGCAAAATCCCTCTTCACCCCTTCAGGTTTTTCTTTGAGTTTTCTAACATAGTCCTCTCATAGCCTAGTGTTATGGGAATGGCAACCTGAGCTAACTTTGTTTCTAATGTGGAGAGGCTTATACCTTCCCAGACTGGCAGGAAGCAGATTCGCATTGAGCATGCTGTGAACATAAGAACATAAGAACGGCCGTACTGGGTCAGACCAAAGGTCCATCTAGCCCAGTATCCTGTCTACCGACAGTGGCCAGCACCAGGTGCCCCAGAGAGGGTGGACCGAAGACAATGATCAAGCGATTTGTCTCCTGCCATCCCTCTCCAGCCTCTGACAACCAGAGGCCAAGGACACCATTTTATCCCCTGGCTAATAGCCTTTTATGGACCTAACCTCCATGAATTTATCCAGCTTCTCTTTAAACTCTATTATAGTCCTAGCCTTTACAGCCTCCTCTGGCAAGGAGTTCCACAGGTTGACAACACGCTGTGTGAAGAAGAACTTCCTTTTATTAGTTTTAAACCTGCTACCCATTAATTTCATTTGGTGTCCTCTAGTTCTTCTATTATGGGAACTAATAAATAACTTTTCTTTATCAGCCCTCTCCACACCACTCATGATTTTATAGACCTCTATCATATCCCCCCTCAGTCTCCTCTTTTCTAAACTGAAAAGTCCCAGTCGCTTTAACCTCTCCTCATATGGGACCCGTTCCAAACCCCTAATCATTTTAGTTGCCCTTTTCTGAACCTTTCCAAGGCCAAAATATCTTTTTTGAGGTGAGGAGACCACATCTGTACACAGTATTCAAGATGTGGGCATACCATAGTTTTATACAGGGGCAGTAAGATATTCTGGGTCTTATTTTCTATCCCTTTCCTAATAATTCCTAGCATCCTATTTGCCTTTTTGACCACCGCTGCACACTGTGTGGAAGTTTTCAGAGAACTGTCCACGATAACTCCAAGATCTCTTTCCTGATTTGTCGTAGCCAAATTAGCCCCCATCATACTGCACGTATAGTTGGGGTTATTTTTCCCGATGTGCATTACTTTACACTTATCCACATTAAATTTCATTTGCCATTTTGTTGCCCAATCACTCAGTTTGGTGAGATCTTCTTGGAGTCCCTCACAGTCTGCTTCTGTCTTGACTATCCTAAACAGTTTGGTATCATCTGCAAACTTTACTACCTCACTGCTTACCCCTTTCTCCAGATCATTTATGAATAAGTTGAAAAGGATTGGTCCCAGGACTGACCCTTGGGGTACACCACTAGTTACCCCTCTCCAATCTGAAAATTTACCATTTATTCCTACCCTTTGTTTCCTGTCTTTTAACCAGTTCTCAATCCAAGAAAGGACCTTCCCTCTTATCCCATGGCCATGTAATTTACACAAGAGCCTTTGGTGAGGGACCTTGTCAAAGGCTTTCTGAAAATCCAAGTATACTATATCTACTGGATCCCCCTTGTCCGCATGTTTGTTAACCCCTTCAAAGAACTCTAATAGATTAGTAAGACAGGATTTCCCTTTACAGAAACCATGTTGACTTTTGTCCAACAAATTATGTTCTTCTACATGCTTCACAATTTTATTCTTTACTATTGTTTCGACTAATTTGCCCGGTACTGAAGTTAGACTTACCGGTCTGTAATTGCCAGGATCGCCTCTAGAGCCCCTTTTAAATATTGGTGTCACGTTGGCTACCTTCCAGTCATTAGGTACAGAAGCTGATTTAAAGGATAGGTTACAAACCACAGATAATAGCTCAGCAATTTCCCATTTGAGTTCTTTTAGAACCCTTGGATGAATGCCATCCGGTCCCAGAGATTTGTTAACATTAAGTTTTTCTATTTGTTCCAAAACCTCCTTTTTAGCAGGCTTCCTGCTTCTAATGTACTTAAAAACATTTTGTTATTTCTTTTTGAGTTTTTGGCTAGCTGTTCCTCACAATTTTTTTTGCTTTTCTTATTACATTTTTACACTTGATTTGACAGTGTTTATGTTCTTTTCTATTTATCTCACTAGGATTGGACTTCCACTTCTTAAAAGATACCTTTTTGTCCCTCACTGCTTCTTTTACATGGTGGTTAAGCCACGGTGACTCTTTTTTAGGTCTCTTGCTATGTTTTTTAATTTGGGGTATACATTTAAGTTGGGCCTCTATTATGGTGTCTTTAAAAAGTTTCCATGCAGCCTTCAGGGATTTGGCTCTAGTCACTGTGCCTTTTAATTTCTGTTTAACTAACCTCCTCATTTTTGTGTAATTCCCCTTTTTGAAATTAAATGCCAGAGTGCTGGACTGCTGAGGTGTTCTTCCCACCACAGGAATGTTGAATGTTATTATATTATGGTCACTATTCCCAAGCGGTCCTGTAACGGTTATATCCTGGACCTGATCCTGCGCTCCACTCAGGACTAAATCGAGAATTGCCTTTCCCCTTGTGGGTTCCTGCACTAGCTGCTCCAAGAAGCAGTCATTTAAGCCATTGAGAAATTTTATCTCTGCTTCTCTTCCTGAGGTGACATGTATCCAGTCAATATGGGGGTAATTAAAATCCTGTGCCTGAAAAGAAGAGTGTTGCAAGTTAATTCCCCTGGGAACACATCTGGGAGACAGTTAGTACAAAAGCTACTTTACAGACTAAAGAAACACTGTAAAATGCTAACATATGTCTCAAGTGAAATTAGTTCAAGGGCGGATATAAGTGGGGCTATGTCTACACTATGAGGTTTTTCCAGGATACCAAAAAACTCCACCGCATCCAGGAACATGTCTGCTCTTACATTTTTTTTTTTTTTTTTTTTGTGTCA